CAGAGCAACTGATAATAAGGTTAATAATCCGTATTATAATGTACATACAGCTTTTTGGGACAATGTATATCTGCAATAACTACTTTCACAATCCTCCCATTCAGTTCACACGTAACAGAAGTTCAAAACTGCATCCAACCCCCGTTTGCTAGGGTGGTAACTTTTTCATTTCTGCCCCCACAGACTTAATGAGGTTTTAAAACCACCGCCAGGGGCATGGGCCCTGATAATGGAGACAGCAGGCACTCCTGTAAAATCGGTAAACTTCTACCAGAATTCACGACGCCGAGAGAACTCGAAATATCAGTAAATGAAAAGCGGGATACACGAGCACACATATTTCATACACCTACAAGGGAAAATCTAATTGATAAAACTGTACCTATATAAGAAAAGAAGGGCATGAAAACCTCATCCATATGCGTTCAAGGGAGGGCGTGTATGCGGAAGGTCACATCAGGTGCGTGAAACAACAAGTTCAGATGCCGGGTTCTAACGGCGAAGAGAAATAAGACGGTTGTCTTCTGGGATGCTGCACCGTGTATCTGGTAGATATTGACCGTTGTTTCAAAGGTGCTTTAAGCCATAATGGAAAGCTTGGTCTGAAGTCGTTCATTAACTCTTAAGGGAAGCAGCACTCGAACTATTTCCACAACTGTTACTTCTGCAGGTAGTCTTATTGGAACTGCAATGGCTTTCGTGGCTTGGAAATCGGTGTAAAATGGGATATTAATTTCATATAGATGATATAGTCCATTATTTCATTTTCAGTTGCAGACAAAAACTGTGGTAAGTAAAAATACAGGTCTGTCATAAACCAGGATATTTCCACTTGCTACTTAGCAAAATTCAAGTACACTTTATAGTAATGTTCTGTAGCGTCTACGGGAAGATGCACGATAAAATGATCCTGTTCACTCTGCAATGTCCATTAAGGGATTTCCGACAACAAACCGAATCCCTCCAGCCTCTTTACTCACCACATGAAGCCCTACGTGCCTTTCCATGTTCCCTAACTCGAATTGGTCCTCAGTGGGAAGATACTGCATTATGCAATCGTGATCAAAGATAAGTCGCAGACTACTCGAGGAATTAAAAACACACCACAACACCAGAACTGCCGAACTTGCTTCATCAAATAACGTAAGTACTTTGACGAAAACAAGTGCAATATCCACTAAGAGCGAGAAAAAGAACAAATTAGGAACTGCAAGCACAGCTACACAATTCTGGCGCTTTCGACAGAATTCGATCCATGACCCATGCGAGTGACGCCATAGTTGTCTTCAGATCAATGACCTTTACGTGGGTGAGGTGTTTGGTTTTGGTGATGACGTCTTCACGGATTATTTCTCCCTCCACAGATAACTATGGTAACCAGGGGAAATGTCATATGCAATCATACTGGGATGGACCAAAAAAAAATACATTCTTATGTAAAGCGATCGCTAATACTGTCTGATCTAAATTAAAACTGAAATGGTTTGACAATTATTTGTAAAATCCTCCGATATTAAATTTTATTAACATTGTATTATGCGTATTTCCTCTTTTCATCTACAATAAAAGTGAGTAAAATTTTTATCTGGAAGCACCTTGGCACCACGATTATTATTTACTCAAAAAACTAGTCTCTGATTCAATGACAAACTGTTGACATTAAAGTACCCTTTTAACAGCATTACATCATCACTATATTACATGCAATTTAGGAAATTACTTCATCACCAGTAATAATTTCATCAGATTGTAAACAAAGACATAAAAACTGTAAAATTATTTCATTGCCACCACACACCTAGTGCTGACTCTGGGAAAATTTAAAAGACTGATCAAACAATAATTTTTTCCATTGTTAATATCTATTTGATCCACACAAATTGTAAAACTGTCTTAACTCATTAGACGAAGAATCCAATGATTAGATCACTCTTGCCCTCAAAAACCCTACATAAGTGTTTTTCATCTTTCTCTGACACATGGACCAAGAAAAATTGCAATAGATTTTTCTAATTACTATCCTTGCATCTTTATAAAAGTCTACAAATCTAATTATTACTAGCAGGTACAAACTTTGTATATCAGCAACATATCCATTTTTAAAATCAAAGGCATCATAATGACACATGTCAAATATTTAGAATTTAAGATTATACATTAGAGCACAAAAAATTCAAATTGTCAACATACATCTTCCAAGGATCCAACAGAGCCATTTCTGAGCTTTGCAATGACCAACTCAGAAACTGCAGCCCTCCATCCCACCACTTGATTAGTTCCATCATTAATGCCACAAAAGAGAGATAATGAGGAAAATCAATTATTAATACATTACCATGCAACACAAACTAAAAACAAAATAAAACAAAAAAAGGAAAATAATCACCAGTTGTAAAATAATAGTTTTTCAGAAGTAGTAACTTAAATAAAACATTTAGAAATTGAGGACAAGCACAAATGGCACTGCAGACTAACAGATGTTCATGCACACACCAGTTGATAAACACTAGATGACAAATTAAATAATGTGGTCACACAACCCCAAAGTAGAATCCTCAAAAACTGCCGCATATAGATGTCTATTACAAATCATGTCTCAGACTGAACAAAAATTAAATTAACTAAAACTTACAAGGTAGGACGCTTCTACCTACACAATTTAAGACAGAAGGACAATACCAAAGTCTTGCATAAAATGGAGAAGCTTACAAATGCATTCCTATTATATATGTATTTCAATATTCGAGACCAATAAAGACACCACTACTCCCTACATTTGCATCTTAACATGTAGCTTGGATTTTAACTCAGGGCTAATAATGAATTAATCGAAAATTTTATTTTACATTTCTGAAACAAACTGAATTCAACCTTTAAACATCATTATATTATCAATCGATATTAATTTCAAAGCAAGCAGCAAGAGCAGGGTTACTAATACATGACCTTGACATACTTTGCTCCTGTACTGTAATAAATAATACACCATGAACAGTAAGTGGTATAAATATTTTGCAATTTCAAAAACTTCATGTTGTATGTCATTATTAAACTTTTCAAATTCAGTACAACTCGGAACAAACACGCACTGGCACAAAAAAATCTTTAATGAAACTTAATCAACCAAACGTATACAGCAATGAACACCAATTATGTGGCATACTGCACCAGAATTCACAAGTTACACCCAAATATCTATTAAGATTGACATTTTTTAGCTTTCCCTTAACTCTGCCTACCTAGCAATAACAGGCAAGTTTAATAAATCTACAAGAAACCTTATTCTACATTTTCTATACTGGTTTGTGACTGGTAGGCCATTCTTTGTTGTATATCATGAAAGTGAATCAATAATTTGCTCACATTATGAATTCGGTGACCACAAATTTATAAACCCATTCTTCTCATAAGTCATATCATTTTACATTGAGTAATTCTGCTACAAATTTCATGGTCATGACACAATGTATACTGATAAGGAAATTGTATAAAGCTGAAAAATTTACCAGAATTGGTCATTTTATGATGATGAAAAGCAATGTAATGTTCTTATATCACACACTTAATGAAACTTCCAGTATGCCTATGCTAAAGCACAACAAACAACAGTACGGAACTAACGTATTCAGTCATCGTTGCACCTAATGCAAACAAGCATAGTATCCTGCACTTGATATTGTCATGGTTTAAGCTAATTGTCACAAGTATACTTCTATTATTCTACAGCAAACATGTTTAATCCATAAATTCTAAAGATGATGGTATATTACAATTAGTTTAATCCATTATTGGATTTCTGGAATTTGCACATCTAATATTCTTAAAAGAACACAACATTTAAGAAAATGTACTTGTTTCCATCCTCAGATGATAAAGATAGGGGTACCTGCTCAGTTGGGTCCTTTCAAAGACTTAACCTCCAGGACCAGTAATTGAGGTCATCACTTTCTAACAGACTCAAATGAGTAAATACACCCCAGAGGACTGAACATACCCAGTTTCCATAACACTGTTCTTTTCAGAATACCAGACAATGGACCAAGTCCAGAGAGCCATGTTATCCAGTTATCATGAACTCAAAAAGAATGTTCAGGAGTTGGAGCAACATTTTGGTGTACTGATAAGGAGCTTCTGCCTGCCTCATTCTGCATGTCAAAAATGTACTACATTGTATGGAATGTAGCAAAGCAATACTAAGTGAGAGCATTAATGCCACAGCAATCCAAACAATAAAACTATGCATTTTAGAAAATGATAACATAAATAACGTAATTACACTGCAAATTGATTCCCACAACTGAAGCAGCATGAACAACTTTAACATGAGTAATTTCATCTCCAGTGCCATCATCCCAAGAAACGTATAACAAAACACCTATGTTGAAAAGAGTTTAAGAATGTCACTAACACAACCTCCTTAAAGCAATATGCAAATGACATACATTTCCATTTTCCAGGCATATTGCTGCACATCCCTAATAGACAAACAAATTCTTACACATAGTCATATCCAAGAACAAATAAATACTACCATACAAACTTACAAAACAATGTTACAAATATGAAACCATAATTAAATCAAAGTGAAGCACATTTTGAAGGCAAATACTGAATATACAGCACAGTCATTTTGCTGAAAAGTTATGTGATGTCAGTAGATAACCTAACAAAATGAAGTTATTCATTGACTATAGTAACTATACACTGAAAACAAAAATGAGAACTCCTGCTTTATATGTTTTAACAAACATACATCCTCATTTTTATGTAATATAACAGCTATTTCTTTTACCACTATGTACTTCTAACAGCAACTTCACATATGTATTCATATTTTCACCAGTCATAGTGATCAGATAACATAAAAGTTATCAATATTATTCAACATAACCTAACAAAGGTAACATGATATACAATCCATATGATAAAATGTGAACAGTTGTTAATCATAAATATGCCTGTGAATAAAAAAATACATCAAACAGAATGGAACTACTTACTCAGTGGTGATATCTGATACTGGCTCTGGTGAAATGATGTATGATGCAGCATCCCCAGATTGTGGCTGATCAACATTGTTTGCTGACACCTCCTCTTCAAAACTAGAATGAATTTCTGCCACAGTTTCATGTTTCTACAAATAAGAATCAAAGACCCACATAAAACAACAAAATTAAATATCCAATAATTTACTTTAAATATGCCTACAAACAAAATTCTTTGATCACAGTCATACATATCTGTTGTGTCAAATGTATGATATCAGTTACATATGCTTCCTGCATTTTGATTTCAGTAAATGTTCCAACAGACAGCAATAAGTTATGTAATACATAAACCTCTCCACAGAAAAATAAATAATACAGAAAATGTACCTTATGAGCCACTGATCGCAAAAAATGTGCAATAAATACTCCCACTTACACCACAGTGACAACAGTTAATTAAACACTGTTACATTCCATACATGTAACGTAAATTACTATACCTCTACAGTACTGTGACAAGTTGCATTAGTTCAATAGCAGTGGTCAGTTACTGCTAGTAATCTTCAATAAAACCAACATTCAGTAATGGCACATACAGAAGTAAAATGGTTCCACTTTAGTGTACCTACCTTCCCTTCTTGATTTTCATCTTTCTTATTAGTATTTAAACCATGAGTCTGTTCATGTTGTTCTCCGTGGTTCTGTAACCTTTCAGAGTTATCTGCTGAATGTTCAGTATCAACTGTATCATTGTCAAAAAGAGTTCTAACAGAAAAATCAGTCACACCGCTTTCTGTAGCCACCAGTATAAACAGGAGACAGCTGAAAATGCAAAATGAATTACTTCACCAACTACAGACTGCATATATTTGATAACAAAGTAACTTCTGATATGAAGTTAACATTTCAATTAACAGTCCAAAAAGATATATAATGAAAATCCACAGCGAATAGTTATGTAAATTACCTTGAAATAAATGACACGAAAAGCAGTGTCCAATACACATGACAGATATTAACCTTCATTTTAAGTCTATAAATACATCCTTATGTACAATCATTTTTGCTGATAACTAATGAACAACTTTAAAACTAGCAGTATTCTACATCAACACACACTCTTCGAAAACCTGACGTGTACTAGTAAACTTCCGGTTACGAGAAACATCAAATCTCACATTATAAATACACTTCAAGACATATGTAACTAAGAAGACTATTGTCAAATTACAAAAATATCTTCATAAGAAAAACTTTGCTTTACTTTAAATAAAATACCTATAAGAAGAACTTAAGACAATTTACTTGCTTAATTTGACTACCATTCTACACTTAAGCAGAAAATAGTATTTATTTCTTCCTCTAGATGGTAGTACGTTCCAGTTGGTGTACTAATCCTGCCACCTATTCATGTGACTGTCACCCCAGAATCAGCAGGTTCACCAAGACAAATTAAAATTTCCTTATATCCAGAAAACTTTCAATAACTGTGTAAACGAAATCTGAAACTGTAACAATTGTTACGCCAAGAGCAAGTATATGAATATTAGTGTCATATAAAATAGCATTCTTGCTTTATAAATACTCAGTTTGTCAAGAAAACGTAAAAATATCTCCGGTAAAAAAGTATCCTATCGGATTAACAAGTGGTAACAATGAATATATCAGTGTGTCAATACAATTTTGAATATTTAGTTGTGGACAAAAATTATCATAAAATGATGTGGCGTGTCATTTCTTCTTTTAAATGCTTGGAGAGAAGCGATTAGATAATAAATGTTAGATACTTTAAAAATGCATATTTACTCCAGTTTTCATCGTATTGTTTTGTGTCATGAGGCTAACCGTCTAATGAATTATTTCAGCACAAGTATGGCAGATATTAATAAAACATCCACAGAAGTGTGCCGAGACCTTCACGAAAATACTGATGGTGGGTGCTGCTACACACAAGAGAAGGTAATGAGTTGTAATCTTTAATATGTATGGCTTTTATGGCAGCTGGAATAGAGGTCTGATGACAATGGGATTTTGTGTTATTGTTTGCAGCACTTAAATTGATAATGTCTGATGCAGTGAAGTACTGAAATTAAGTTTTACAGTTTATTGAATAAATGTGGCACAAATATCTAATTTTGAGTGGGATGCCACCATCATAAGGCACATTTTGGGCAGTACCACCTGCCAGACACACTCTTTATAAGGATCACTTGCTGCATTTGCTATTTCTTACATCCTGGCAACATTGCTGTTTAGAAGGTAACTAGAAATGTGATAACAAGATTTGTTCATTGACTAAAAAATAGGTGTATAATTAATCTCTCAGCATCTGACCCATCATTCAAGCACTGCAGTTAAAGTTGCACTCTGTTGTCTTTTCTGGGCAAATG